TTTATATAGCAAACAATACTTCAACTATATAATTGTTGCATTGAGAACAACGAAGGCATTGCTTTAACCACAAGAGAATATTAGAGAAAATATTCACAAAGAAAATTTTTCGATAAAACATTTTTGGAAGAATAGGGCATGGTGTTTTAAAGTACAAAAAGAGCGATAACGTTTGAAAGATCCTCTGACAAGCAAGTATGATATAAATTATTACGTGGCATATGTATACAATTCTATTTACTGTTTAAATTTAAAAATAAATAAATAAAACTCCAAAACCGCATGATCATGGATCTCATCTACAGAGGTAAAACTTTTATATATCAGTTCTTACTTTCGATCTGCATTCTTCACAGCACCAGTTCGATTTATAAATTGAATTTCCTTCGTAATTCGTTTTTTTAGTGCTTTAGCATCGCGATTTCTATTTTGATACATTTTAGCATTCAACGTTTCCCATAGGAAATAGTCCCATTCGGCCCTATCAGCTCCGCGAATTTTTCTTCTATATGGTACAATAATTGCTCGACATTATGTTTGCACAACGTATCTTTAATTGGACATCTTCTATTTTGCAAACAAAATGTACGGATATTGACCCAATGTACATCTACCATGATTAAAAAAACATTTATTTGTTTTTCGATCTTAGGTGAATATCAATTCAGACATCTAAATATAACACTTCCAATGTAGGTGTGCTGCTGAGGGGATATTATATTATTTTAGTTTAGAACCCCTCCACCCCCCTCCTCCCTAGCGCCACGGGTGACGTCACATTCCTCGGCGTCCTGGTGCGACACGCTTTATTTCGGGCATCGCTCTTGCGCTCTCTCCCGTGACGTCAGAAGCAAATTAGGTCGGGCGCTGCAGCCATTCGGGGAGGGCGGTTGGTGGTGGGTTTTTGAGGGGGAGGGGAGAATCGGAGGGACTTATATCACTATGCCGAATATTCCGAAAATGTATAAATTGTTATCTGCATATGCGACCGAGAGGTACAGAACTAATTAATACCCAGAAAGTTCCAAAAAAGCAATTATCACGCCAATCCATAAATCGGGAGATAAAAAAAACAACCAACAATTATAGATAGACCTATAGACTAGTAACTTGTCAAAAATATTTGAAAAATGTATAAAATTACTCTTAGCTCAATATTTCGATGAGAATAATGTTATTTCAGAACACCAGTATGCCTTTAGGCTAAATTCTGGTAGGAAGGACGCTGTTGCCTGCCTAACGGACGGTCAGTAATAGGGAAAACAAGAAATGCATGAGAATTTTTCTCGACCTGAGGAAAGTATTTAACACAGTGGCTCTCCAAAACTTGCTAATAAAAATGTAAAACTGATGGAGTGAGAGGTATTGCTATTAAATCATTCCAATCTAACATATCAAATACAATACAGTGTAAAAATTAACGATGTTAAGCACCATCCCCTGGGGGTCAAATGTTCGTTAATATCTACGTTAATGACCTATTTAGTTTAATATCCGAGGAACAGGGAGACATGCTCTGTTTTGCAGATGACAGCGCCATAATCATTAGTGGAGAAAAGTGGTCTGATGTGAAAGTAAAAGCCGAAGATACTATGAAATATATAAAAAGTTGCTATGATAAAAATTAACACTGAACGTTGATAATTCAAACTTTCTTGGCTTCTCAATAACGCCACTATTACCGACGTAACTTTTCATAGCTTTGACTGTCAAAATCGCCTCCGCTGCAATTGTACTCATGAATTAAATAAAAATAATTAAATCAAATATCTCGAAGTCATTATAGATTCAAATTTAGTTAAATTATAAAATTGGTATATAAATATTATCAACTTAGACAGGTATACTGTGTGTTAGTTAATTACTATACCATTGCATGGCTTGCAGACAGTCAAATCGCAATTGAACCTTTGATTTAGATTATTAGATTTATTTAATGATGCCCAATTATTACAAATTAATCAATTGTATAAAACTGAACAGTAACATGCACATGTAAAACTCACTAAATGTGAAAAATATAATTTTTATACGCTACCAAAAATATTTAACATTTTACTCGGTGAATTTAAGAATAAACCATTTCTTAAAATAAAAAATTAACTGTAGCGGTGATTAACAAATAATAAAATGAACTTGGTTCTGTCTTAGTCTCTGCCTATTATTGTTACACGTCTTTAAAACTCATTACTTTTCTATCTCTTATAGTTAATAATCCTTAAATGTTATATTTAAAACAAAAAATAATTTTGTTCAATTGTATGGCATTGTTTTGTGTCCCTTTAGATTTACGAATTTGCAAAAATATTTTGCGCAACACGTTAAGTGCACACACAGACTGCGAAGTCCATAGTGCACGTAGTGCATTATTGTTCGCAAATTTTATGTTGAAAATAAATTAAATTATATACAACGGTATACATTTTAAAATTGACAAATGGCACGGTAGTTTTAGCCAGTGACAGAGAAGACCTTGAATGCATGATCCGCAAACTTAAAGAAACTTCGAACTAAAGAAGATGCCTCGAAATTAGTGAGCCACACTGAGCATGCCCATCTTATTTATTTAATAAAAATTGAAAAGTAGATCTTGAAGCAGATAAGATTGACATTTATGTGTTCTTACATTGCCTCTGAAGTTTTTTGTTAATTTGGATTTTAGTGTGGAGCGTTTTTCTTTTTGCAATGGTAACACGCGCGCCGCTGTATCGGAGTATGAAAGACGGTTTCTCAGAGGCAAAGAACGTTTATGAATAATTTTTATTATCAATGAAATTGCGTTAAGACCTCTAGCAGGTGCATCAAATATTGCTAAAATAATTGTAACTTTCCAAATCGTTTTTTTGAATTTTTAGAATTGACGAGGCAACATCCTCAAGAAACAACGGTTTTAACAATTCTAACGCGCATTTCTGAAGTAATGACAGTCCCATGGTTATTCGTAGGACCAACTGTGTTTGGGCAGGTATCATTGGTAATACGTTGATAGGTCCTTTTATTTTGCGGAATACATTAAATGCGTACTTAGATCAACTGGCCAAATTGTACGTACTCGCTTGGAGATTCAGCACGACAGAGCACCAGCTCACTTTTGGCGAGGTGAAAGAAACTAGTTACATGAAAATTTTGCGAACAAATGGGTCCGATCGCCTGACTTAACCCCACTAGATTATTATCTGTGGAGTAATATCTGTAATTCTATATATGCAACAAAAGTAGGTAGTTTAGAAGAGTTAATATATAAGGCAAATTGATATTCCTGGAAATAAAATTATTAACAATCTCTTTCAATATTAGAATAAGATCGCGACCACGTAATAAAAATAATGGAAATAATGGATAAATTAATTAGTGGTTTTTCATCGTTAACCATTGAATACCGAACTATAAATTAAACTTACTGGTTAATATATTATTTATTATAAAAATAGCCTGCTAAAAAAGCAGGGTAAGATAATAAGAAATAAGAGTCAGAATCATAAATACAGGCCCGGAAGGATGTCACCGGACAAAGAAAATACAGTATATAGGACACAATAACTCCATAGTTCAGAAAGACCTAGAGAAAGATTGCTATAAGCTACAGAAATAGCACTTAGACGAGCAGCAATAAATTTCCGTGCAGTTAGAGTAAGAAACGAAAACATCTGACTGGAAAATGCGGATGAACAAGGACATCCAAGAAACTCAACCTCTTGGCGTGGGAATAACAAAAGCCGTGAGTATGAGGAATTTAGAAGAGGAAGATCGAAGACAATTGCGACCAGACATCGGAAACGTCGTCGTACTTTGTAAACTTACGGATATATTTTTTCGAAATCAATATTTGTGTACTGTTTTCAAAATCGAGTACATTGGTGAATTTGAAAGGTTGTAAAGCAAGAATATAATAATTGTTTACTCGCAAAAACAAGCCTCCTTATCGTTAATGAATTGCTGAGAAATCGGTCTATAATTTACTTCTTCATGCGCATTCTTTTTCTTATGTTTTGCATTTATTAAACCATTCTTTAAAAGATGTGGAAAAGTGACCGTTGCGAAGCACAAATAAAATATCCTTAAGAATTAGCAGATTGTCATCACCAACAGATTTTTTTATTTTTTGAAGCTTTTTGTTACTTTGGACATGTTGAGTTTAGATACATGGAGTACACCGACGTATCACCTAAGAAGACTTCTGACATTGTCGCCATTTGGACATAAATTTGTAAAATATAAATTAGGATTATTTACAATAGTGAAGGAATTATTAATATCGACCAAAGAAGTTTTTTCACCCGTTATGTTACTATTACTGTTGTCCATCTAGCTTTCAAATGATTTTGAAAAATTAATTCCGTCGTTTTCTTAAAATAAAGATACTTTTTGTGCCTACAAGATATTCTGATACCACTACTTTTTAAAAACACGTATTTTGGTAAATAAGTTTTAAGCCATTTGTATCTCCGGCTAAAATGTCAGGATTGTTCTTTTTGAAAACGTCCTCTTATATATTTGTTCATTTTCCTGATCTCTGCAATTTCTTAAACCATAAATAACAAATAATTAATCATGATAATCAGAGAGCATCGAATGAAGGATCGAAAAACTGTGTAGAGGTTTCCACTTTCACGAGTGGCTTCAAAAATATATGGCGATAGGTATTTAATAAATCTGGTACTCTTTTCACGCGAGTAAACAGATATATCACAGTTCAAAAAAGTATATCATCGTTTTTAGGGGACCGACTAAAAAAAACTACAACTTGCAGGCAACTGCCAAGATACGTCGATTATTTTACTGGAATTTTGAACCTATCCGTCGTTTTTAAAATTATGGTCGTTTCAAAGTGCTGCGAATTTGTAATTAGCACAAAAACTTCACGAAGTAGACATATTCGATGGTAACGTGTATTGAAAAATATGAACAATTAGTAAACTATATTTGGTTAATATTTTATTTAAATTTTATTGTATTGTTGTACGTGCAACCCTATAATGTCTTCTTCTTCTTTTTTATAGGTCGCTGCCCAAACTCAGCAGTCAGGAAGAGGACGGGCACACCCCCCACTCCCAGTTCACCGGAGTCGCCCACTTCGAGCCCATCCCGCACGATCACGATTTTTGTGAACGCGTCGTCATCAACGTAAGTAGATCATGTATCATGAATTAAAAACAAAATGAACAGGGTGTTTGATTTCTTCCTTCTGTGGCATACGTATTTATCCATCAGCGCTTTGTTGGCTGACTTACTTGAAATGATTTTTTCTTCTCTTTAATTTCTTTTCTTTTACTGTTAAATTCATATTCTCTTCTATTTCTATTTTAACTGTTGTACTGTTTTTCGTTTTCTTTTGTTATGTGCCAATTGTAGCAAAGGTAATGAGGAAACTTTCTGTTGGATTTTTAAAGGTTTGATAAAATTTGTTTGTGAAACTTGGTTAACAACTAATATTTCTAATGAATTTGTTAAAGTTATAGGCTATAATTTCGTGAGAATAGATCGTTTTGGTTAAGAAGAAAGTGTAGGTATATACGTGAAAAATAATTTTAAAGTTTCATATTGAGTTTTCCGAGCTACACGCTGATTTCGAGTGAAAGTGGATAAATATTACAATTTTTGATAAAATGTTTATTCTCGGGGCTCTTTACAGACCACCAAAAGGAAATTTTAACGTTTTTATAAAATGGGAAACAACAGTCTGGTTTTTTGAACTCTGAGGTAGTGTTAATATTAATTAATTAATTAACCATACCATAAATTAGGGAAAGGACACTTTTTGGTTTTGGTGATTTCTAATTTCTCCGGAAGATCAAGTTTTTTACTTCTTTTCGACCACTCATGTAAAACAATAACATTTTTATTCGACGAAAAGTTATGCCCATTTTACAAAAGATGACCAGATTTGGTCTCTGTCACGTCACTGTCCTGTACTTTTTCACTAACAGTGAACTCTGATGGTTATCTTCCTGCGAGAAGTAAATTGCATTACAATTCACATAGTTCAAGGAATAACCTCCTGATCTAGAAAAATAGTCATAAGGATCCTTAATTTTGATTATAAATTGTTTTGATGTACTGTTTGTTTCAAACGCCATAGATTGAGCTAGTTGCAACGAAATATTACCGAAATAGGTCAAGAATTGGAGCATGTTCTGGAGGTTTTGAATTTTTCCATCTGGTGTAATAACTGATATTTATTGGCAAATTGTAAATTAATTTGTTGATTGAACAAACTGGATAACCATCATTGAATGCAATGCAAGCTGACATTAATTTTTAATAATATAAACTCCAGTGTAACCCTGGTGCGTGATTTTTTATATATTTTATACTTAATACCAATATATCTAATTTTTTCAAGCTTTTTATTGTTTTTTATTATTTTTATCATTTTATAAATAATAATTTTTGAGAAATCGACTTCGGAGTTTAATTGCTTAATAGTTTGATGAAACCAGGTCTCTTTGAGAATAGGCGATTTGTTTTATTTTATTGTTCCAGACTGTTACCAACGAATTTTAATTGAAGAATTTCCTGTATTTTTTTCTGATAGAGTTACTTGTTAGGCGCATTGTCAGCAGTAGTAGTTAAAGTTTAAGTGTAATTTTAAGATAATCGCAACTTGTTATTGGGTCTTGACCTGTAAGTTGAATTAATAATAATAAATAAATTAAAATAACGGTTGTCTGTTGTTGCAGGTGAGTGGGTTGCGATTCGAAACGCAGCTGCGCACACTGAACCAATTCCCCGACACTCTGTTAGGCGATCCCGCGCGACGTATACGGTATTTCGATCCGCTGCGCAATGAGTACTTTTTCGATCGCAACCGGCCATCCTTCGACGCCATCCTCTATTATTACCAGAGCGGCGGCCGACTGCGCAGGCCCGTCAACGTGCCGCTGGACGTCTTCTCGGAGGAGATCAAGTTCTACGAGCTCGGCGAGCTCGCGATCAATAAGTTTCGCGAGGACGAAGGTTTTATCAAGGAAGAAGAGAAACCGTTACCGAGCCACGAGTTCCAGCGGAACGTGTGGCTGTTGTTCGAGTACCCCGAATCGTCGCAGGCGGCGCGGGTGGTCGCAATCATTTCCGTCTTCGTCATTCTGCTGTCCATCGTCATTTTCTGTCTCGAAACGTTGCCGGAGTTCAAGCACTACAAGGTGTTCAATACTACTACTAACGGTAATCACCTATATGATATATATACTAGACGTAGGACGTAAGAACGACCTGGAATTAGGATGGAACATGTCACGAATTCTTAACGTTTTTTAACTTTCGGATCTGTGTAATATGTCCAACATCTTAAAGTCAGAAAAGACACCATCGCGGCTAACTGAAACGGGTCTACCTACAGTTTATGAAAAACAAAATCGATATTGTTATGGAACTTGCCATAATGGCCATAACATTTTCGCTCTTGCAATGTTGCCGATTCTACCCGAACTCAGTGGAAAAATTTAAATTACTAGTGGAACATGTAGTTGTTAATTGCGAATTCGACATAAAAATTTAGTAATTGTTATCTGCCATCTTGTTGGCAAAAAAAATTAAAGATTTTTTTTAAACCTCGCTTCGATAAAATGTGATATTTTGACGGAAAAAAGAACTATTCAATTAACACTTTCACAGGTGATTATTGATTATACTAGAAAGCATCTGCAATAATTTAGTGTACTGTTTTTAAATCAGTCAGGTTGTAGACACGGGTCTGTTTGCGCGACCGCATTACTAAATGTCACAGATGACATATTTAGAGCAGCTGATAAAGGTCAAGTGACGGCCCTAATGCTCCCTGATTATTCTAAAACCTTCGACAGATTAAACCACGAGTTGTTACTTGCAACTTTACATTTCATTGGTTAGTTTGTAAACAGTATTGTAAACATTATTTAAGATACTTTTCACATAAAAAATCAAGATGAAGAATTAAAATGCTCCTATACTGGTAGAAATTTGGGACTAAATTTCAATACCAATCTTCGTTTTAAACCTCAGGCTAATAAAATGATACGCACTGCAGATGGCAATCTAAAAATGTTATATTCAAACGGAAATGACATTTGTTGTCAAAGTCATTAAAAACAAGGTCGACTGATTCGTTGGTTTTGAGTCACTTTAATTATTATGGCCCATGTTTAAATTTGCGTGACAACAGAATACAAAGGGTTCGAAAGTATGTTTGCATTTCATTTATGGTATACCTACTAAGAATCCAGTTTCATATAAACTTAAAGTGGTTAACAATGGAAATTACATTCAGTAACTATGTTATATAATATAATATTGACTTGACTTTCGTACTGACGTGCATAGACTAAACTTGGGATTTCATAGCTTTCAACGTCTATAAGCCGTACAATGGAGTTTCGGAAAAATGAAAATATTTACGCGTAAACTTATTTAAATGTCTCTATGTAATGTCTCGAGAACGATTGTGTGTAGCAGGTATAACTGCGCAGAGCAGGATTTATTGTTTGTTTTTTTTTCTTGTATAATATTTTTATTTCCCACTGTAGAAAACTTTTTCATCCATTGCTTCTTAGGGATCGAACATAATATGCAAGTATCGATTTGAATATTAATTTCAGTGTCTAGGGGTTGAACTTGAACTTCTTGTAATTGTTATCAACTGCTTCTTTGCAACCATAAGGCTAGGAACATTTTGTGTTACTTTCTGTATTATTTTGTTGCAAAATAAATATTATTATTATTATTATTATTATTATTATTATTATTATTATTTTATATAGAGTACGCCGAAAAAGTGATAGAAATATAGTATTAATAAAAAATCAAATAATCCATATTCTTGTGCTGCAATTCTAAGCTGTGCGTAATACATGAGGAGCACAGCAGAGTTGGTAATAGAACTTGAGATTGTTCAATGAACAGTATCCTATAAATGGTATTAAATACAGAAGGTTCATGCAATTTTTTTTGTTAAATGAAAGCATTAAAGCCCTGTACAGCGGAAAAATATTTATTAGGTATTTCGAGAAATTCCGTTGGCAAGATTTTGAAACAATGCGGAATGCACCCCTGTAAATTTTATACCGCCTCCGCTCTCCATCAAGAAGATTTTGCTCAACGTACACAATTTTGTGAGATATTCCTAATTCATGTCCAAAAGGACCCAGATTTCTTGCGAAAAATAATTTGGAATTTTGAGCCCAAATTTACAAGGGAAGATATTTTTTGTAGACACGATCGATATCTTTGGGCATCAGAAAATCAGCATTCAACCGGAGAAAGAAATTTTCAAAACACATTTAACGTAAACGTCGTTGTTTAATAATCAATAATCGTGTTCAATATCATATCTATCAAGGAAATCTTAATTCACAGGAGTATCGAAACATTTTGTCGTACTTTGGTAGCAGATTTTGGGTTACTTCTAGCTATTTGAGATAATTCTTACCACCTCGATAGAGACCCACCTCACTGCACTCATGAAATTGATTAGCAACTTTATGAAATGTTCGAGGACTGGTGGATTAGGCAAGTAGGACCATGGAGTTGGTCCCCAAAGCCCCCAAACCTCACACTGTCGGACTTCTATGTCTGGAAGACAGCGAAAGGGAGGATATATTCAACTTGCATAAATAATGTTGACGAAATTATATTTCGAATACACAGAACTTTCGACTCGTTCAATTCATTTGAAATGCCTAGTGCAAAATGAGAGACATATTGAAAATTTACATTAATTCTTATTTTCAATACGGTGTTTGCTTCACACTTTTGTTACTAAGAAATACACATCAAGGACATTCATTTGCTTCACGTTGGCAAAAAAATGTAAGAGGTGGGTATAGGAACACGTATAATCATTTTGTAGATAATTTGTTGACTTAGTCAATGGAAAATGTCATTTTATTATTAATATTTTTTTCAAAATACAGTTTTTCGGCGCCCCTGTATAAAATATTGTCAATATGCACAGTTTTTAAGTGCATTCCTTGGCTATCGCCTGTGAAAATGTTAATTGAATAATTCTTAATAATAACATCACACTTTATCACAACGGGAGTTTTAAAACAAAATCTTTTTTACGAACAAGATGGCAGATAAGTGTAGGGACAGTTAGTGGAAGTTGTTTAAATTTTTATGTCGAATTCGAATTTCTATTTACTGCAAAAAATGCGCAAGAAAAAATTATGATGGACCTGTACCCGGTATTAGGAAATTCCGGTGGAATTACGTTACATTTCCTATTTTGAGATATTTTCATTTCCACTGGGGTTTCGATTGAATATTTTTGAAAGAATAAACATTAGAAATTCATTTTTTAAAAGATAAAAATATTTTCTAAATTTGCATTCAATTTTAGGAGTACATTTTGTCTCCTCCTTTATTTTTCGTACAACTGGCCGATGTAGGGTAAAAAGATTTTTTTTACTCACTACGCGAAAATATGCTATTTTTCACAGATCAAGCGTGCATAAGATGTCCGCTTCGCAGCTCCTTCTCGCTGACTTCTTCAGCCATTTGCGGTATTGTAGTTTAGTGTTTGAGAGCGATCGGATGTTTTCGGTACATTTTAGCCATTTTATTACGTTTGCCATTTCTCACGGTCACTTCACACATCACTCGGTGAATATCCAATACGCACACGCAAGGTGTCACTTTAAAACGTCAACTTCATTAAACACTGTCGTAAGCCAACCAAGCGGCTACTACTATGTCGCAAGTCGCGAGTTCGATTGCGATTCAAGTAGTAATATTTTTCTATTTTTCTTTAAAATACCTGAATTGATTCCCACTTTTAAAGGTCGCTTTTTTGCCCAATATATTCAATCAATACGACTATGGTGAAATTTGTTTAAATTCGTCGGAATTCCAAAGAATTTTAGTGCATGTTCAAACACTAAAACACAAACCACATAAAAATAATCTAAACAATCCAAACAGTCATTGCTAAGAATTTTAAGATTTTTTACAGACCAACGGCGTAGTCGGTCTTTTCAGCTTCCACCACTTTTGAGATCAAATTGATTTTTGATAAAAAATAGTAAAACCACGATCGAACCAGCGACCTACCCTACCGCATGGTCTGTAACTATTAAGTCATATTGCCTTATTTATGCATGTGGTTTATTATTTTCATTCTGTAATTGGGACTTGGATTATTTGGTGTTTCACAATTTTATTATTGTAATTATTATTAAAACGAGTCTAGATAGATATATAAATACTATTTTTTATAGTTGAATAGCTTATTTCAAACACCATAAAAAACAAAAAGTATAATTTTTGCGAAACGTTAAAAACAAATCAATTGAAAATTGAAGGTTTTCTTGGTGTAAATAAATATATGGTATATTTATTTATAAAAATATATATAAATATAAAAAATAAAAATAAAATAAATAAATAAATAAAAATAAATAAAACAAAAATAAATTTATAGTATATTTATTTATATGTGGTTGTTAAAATAAGCGATTCAGTTATTCTACACTATTTAGTTAACTTAAAAAGACCGTATACAGAGTGGTACCTACTGAATGCACCAAAACGCAATCTTAGATTAAACTCGTGAAACATATGTTTGGATGTTTTTCAAGATGGTGAATAAGATAACATTCTAGATTTGCACATAATATGTAGACGACTTTAGTTATACTCTATAATCTCGCCATTTCATGCCATAAGTCTCTCATTCCTCCCGCCCTGTGCCTTTTTTAAGATTGTGATAGAGTAATGGTTTCTAGGTAAAAAGGGTATACATTTATTTCTATAAAACATACCGTTTTTGCGATATTTCTATTTTAATACATAGATAAAATTTACTAACTTAAATGTGGTAAACGGCATTTGTGTCACGAGTGACTTAATAAGTTTACCAAACGTGTTGCATACTATACTTTTCCTGACCTTCAGAATTGATAAATGTCAAAATCCAAGCCGAAAACATCCGATTGCTCCCAAACCAGTGCGGTAATACCCCGCAAATATCCGAGGTGACTTGGATCCGTGGGAAACGAAACTGACGTTTTAAAATGACATTTCCCGCACGCTTGATCGGTGTCCGAGTCACTTCGGATATTTCTGGGATATTATCCCAAGGGTTTGGGACCATTAGGGTGTTTTTGGAGATTTTACCGCAGTGAATGTATTCATGTTCTTTTGCAAAAATATACCCAAAAACTAACGGTCGTTGCAAAAGTATAGTATGCAACACGTTTGGTAATAGTACATTATGTAACGAGTGCGGTAAACGGCATTTGACTCACGAGTTTATTTGGCATGAGCGGAGCAAGTGTTTAATAAACGAGTGACTTATAAAGTTTACCGAACGTGTTGCATAGTATACTTTTTTTACGACCTTTAGTTTTTGGGTAAATTTTCGCAAAACAACACGAATACATTCACTTACATGACCGTCACAATTGACAAACGTCAAAATTCAAGGCGTGGGAAATATCTCCGAAAACATCCGATTGTTCCCAAACCCGAGCGATAAAATCCCGGAAATGTCCGAAGTGGCTCGGATCCGTGGGAAACGAAACTGATGTGGTAAAGTGACGCTTCCCGCACGCTGGATCGGTGTGTAATTAGGCATTTTACAGACGGGAGTAGTGGCATTAGCGGAGCGCAGGAGAGCGGGTGTTTAATAGACGGGTTTTTCTACTCCCTCGCTCCGCTCGTGTCAAATAAACTCGTGAGTCAAATGCCCTTTACCGCACTGGTTGCATAACATACTATTATTTAAATTAATGAATGTGAATGCTAATGTCATTTGGGTATCCATGGGTATTTTATTCTTATGAAGTGTTTTAGTTTCAGCTATTTACTTGAACTAAAATATAGCAATGCGAATATCTAAAAAACAGCGCGTTTTTTCGTAAAAAGAATAACTTTTTTGCTTACAATAACCTTCAAACATAAGTAACGGAGCGGTACTAACAAAAAAGAATGAAATAGCAAGCAGTTTTTGAAATATCGACATGAAAACTTGGAATTCGGGGTTTTTTCGAGGTGATGAACACCAATACATTCTATTTTTCAGATAATATGTAAAGGGTGCTAGTTACAGCCTATAATCTCACTATTTCATGCAATTAATTTTTTGTTTATACCCCTTTCTTACCTTTTTTATTTTTAAAAAATTATGGTAGAGTTATCATTTCCGAGCAGTATTATTCTATGTTTCTTTCGAGAAAACATAACGTTGGACTTGAAATCGCTTTACCAAAAAAGTCTATTAAGATTAAGTAGGCTAGAAATTAACATATTCATATTGACGTTATCGTTGATATTCATTAACCGTAATAAAAGATCTTTTTCCGTTATTTTAAGAGGGAAGAAAAAAATAATTTAAATTGGTTAAGATGCCATAGCCACAATGAATGATAAATAATGAAAATATGCGATAGTAAAATGTCGCTCATTGTTGCACTCCGTATATGTCCAAATTAAATTGTGAAAATACCGCTTTGGATTGCTTTTTAGCGCATTCATTAAGGAATACACTGTATATTAATATATAAATTTCACCATTTATTCACTATTGTGTAATTGTACCAACTCATTTTGAATTTTAAATACACATCTACCATATTTTTATGGGTTTAAATACTTTAAACTTAAAAAATATACTATGTAACTACTTTAAATACTTAAAAAAAAAGAATTTCGTGGAATTCCAGAATTACCTGCAATGCCGTCGGATTCCAGCGAAATTCCGTGAAATTTCGAGGAATTATACGTAAAAAAGGAATTACGGTGAACGCTCTTAGCTCTGTGGTTTACCCCTCGGCGTTACCAGATTTTGAAATGAATTTTGTTCGGCACTTATCCGTTCAGTGTATTTATTATTCTATTAAACCACTTTTAGTAACGCCGCTGTCACATTACTATCATTCTCCAAAGTTGTCTTGTTATTGTATGCAAATTAATCTGATTTTCGTTTCGGATTTAAAAACTGAAATACGGAATTTATCACAACGCATAACCTTAAAGTTGTCGACGCTGTTTAATGATACCTATCACTGCAATTTTTGTTACTCTCTCGCATTAGGAAACTAGGTATAGACGACTTTTCTGATAGCCGTTTCGTTCCAGGTACCAAGATCGAGGAAGACGAAGTGCCGGACATCACCGATCCGTTCTTCCTCATCGAAACGATCTGTATCGTGTGGTTCACGTTCGAGCTGTCCGTGCGCTTCCTGGCCTGTCCGAACAAATTGCACTTTTTTCGCGACGTAATGAACTTCATCGATATCATCGCGATCATCCCCTACTTCATAACGCTGGCGACGGTCGTGGCCGAGGAGGAGGACACGCTAAACTTGCCGCGTGCCCCCGTCTCGCCCCAGGACAAGAGCACTAACCAGGCCATGTCGTTGGCCATCCTCAGGGTTATCCGGCTGGTGCGCGTCTTCCGAATATTCAAGCTCAGCCGGCACAGTAAAGGCTTGCAGATCTTAGGCCGCACGCTCAAGGCCAGCATGCGCGAGCTCGGCTTGCTCATATTCTTCCTCTTCATAGGTGAGTCTTTGGCACCCAACCTCCACACCCGCCCTTTTTTCAGGCCCGAATCTCGCCCTGTGGTTGAGCGTTTCAAAAAACCAAAAAAAATACAAACAAAAAAACCGACCGATTTTTTTCAAAAATCCGACCTACCTGGCGTCGCGGCGCCCGCGTCTGTTGCAGGGGTGGTCCTCTTCTCGAGCATCGTGTACTTCGCGGAAGCGGGGGCGGAGCAGTCGTTCTTCAAATCGATACCGGACGCGTTTTGGTGGGCCGTCGTCACCATGACCACCGTCGGCTACGGCGACATGAGGTACTACGCGCTACGAGCGACGCAGCCCTCAGACAAATTAACTAAGGACCTCTTTGAACCGTCTCCCTTTCTCTTTCTGTCTCTCTCTCTCTCTAGGCTTTAGATGGTGGCTTTATTATTGCGTTGATTATTGTACCGAACTGTGCCTTAGTCGTTGGCGTTGCGAATGACGGTACCGAGATACAACTACAACCCGTTCCGCTTGTCGAGCTATTAAGCTAGCGCGACCGACACACCTTAATAATATTTGATTTGTCTGAGGCCTGCTAACACGTGTCCCTCTCTACCCCTCGTTGCAGGTGTCGTGCTGTTCTCCTCGGCGGTGTACTTCGCTGAGGCCGGCTCTGAGAATTCGTTCTTCAAAAGCATCCCGGACGCGTTCTGGTGGGCAGTCGTCACCATGACTACCGTGGGATACGGCGACATGACGTATGATGTACACACCTAATTCAGATTTAGTTGCAACAAACACAGTAGATCTCTATCTCTCTTATGTCCGCACCAACGAGCCACCATCGATCAGTGAATTTTTCAATTGTAACGGGTCGAAGTCGTTCGAATATTGGCGTTCCGTTTGCAATTGCAATTGTTCACGATGGGCGGGTTACTTTAAAAAACGAGGAAGTGGTTGCGGTCGACAGGAGATTAAAACCGAATGCCAAATCAACAACCAAAATTGGTACACCTGATTTTACAGATTTCAGGAATTTCACGTAAATTTCACCGATTTTAAAAAAAATGGTTTTTTTCTTAAGATTTTTTTTTTCATTTAAAAGGGCGTGTTTAACACATTTACCATTTCGATAACAATTCTGAATTTTCTATCGATAAAAAAATTACAATTAAAGCCAAACATTGAAAAAAAGCATGACCTTATCTTATAACTTTTAACCTTAAAGATGCCATGTAAGTTTGTTGAATTTAACAAACGAATGGAGGATAATATCATGAAAAAAATTACCCTCCGTGAATAATTAGTTTAGTGAACACCCCAAAAAATGCTACTAAAACTTATTCAATATTAAATTATTTATTATTTTTGAGAAATAATCTATGATTTCACCAAGATTTCACAGAGAAATAAAATTTCGAATATGCCACAGATTTCACGTAGTTGATATACCAGATTTCCGTGATTTACTCCTTAACTAACACTTTGAGGAATATTTTATTACGAGCCCAGACTACGTTGAAACAATTGGTTACTTTGCAAGTAAAATGCCAGATTACCGAAATTCTTTTTTTTTCATTTTTTTATTGTTACCAACATTTAATATATGCAATTACGATTTAATTATATATTTTATAATGATTACTATTTAGTTAATTGTTTGATAATCGAAAATCCTAGTTTTCTTAAAATATCATATCAAAACCTTATCTGCTTTCAAAATTCTTCGTAAATCTAGTTGTGCTTGATTTCGAGAAAAAAAATTATATCTGTACAGAAATATAACAAATCAATAAGACTCTTTTGCCCCCACATCTTTAAATTCCATCTTGTCGGCGTCCGAGTTTGATCCCCTGCCGTGATTGATGGCAAAGCTGAAAATCTACATTTATCTTCCACCCAGAATCAGATTCAAAACTTTCAACTAACCTCAACACAAATGAAACCATCACACTCTTTCCACTGAACACCGCAGTAAATGTATCATCGTAGAGTTCTCCAAACTATATACCTCTTTTACGACATAATGCGGTATTTAACTTCGGTAAATGTTTATAAAGGTCTAACCGCAGGCCAACCTCGCTTGGATTTCTCTTTGTAACCCTCAATAAATAGATTTTGCAATTCCACAATAACGTTCCAGAACCGTACCTCGGTACTTCGTGCATACAAATGCAGCACGGCTGACGGATTTAATAAATTGGATTTGTATATTGTAATAAAATGTATATAGTACCTCAATAAAAATGACACATTGGGTCTTGAAAAACAATTGAATACCAGTAAGTTGGTAATTACTAATTACAAACAAGACGGAATAGAAATAACTCCAAAGCTTCGGCGGCAAAAAAAACACTGTTTCATAAAACTGACAGTATACTCCGATTTCACCAACCTACAAATCAACAAATAGCAAACTGAGAAACGTGCATTATAAATCAATAAGATTTTATATTGCTTTCCTAGGAAATGTCGTTATATTAAACCCTTAAATTGGAAATCAGTTTAAGCTTTCTAATGTATTGTTTGTGTGTGTGTAATGTGTAGTGCACACTAATGTTAATTAATATAACAGTTTAATCAAAGAAATTTTCCCTATTTTCAAAATCAACAGTTCTTGTCGGCAAACATCTTAAATACTGCCCTGGCTTGTGGTACACTTCACAACATGTGGGTCTTAAACTCGCTCTGAAGTCAAAACCATAAAAGTTTGTAAAAACGGTATATCGTCAGGAGAACTCTACCAACTTTCTGAGACTAAAAAATCTAAAAACAGGAAATTATTTTAAATGCTCAATCTAGTGAAATTCGATTTGAAACCGCAAAAATCCTTTGAAACATGCAAACCTCCTAAATTAAATATTCCAAAGCCTGAACGCATAGCTGTAAAATCTCTAAAATTCCGACATCATAGTCATGAACACAGCTATCTATCGAGAAAAAAATCAAGATATTCTTCAAACAGCCCTCCGACTCCAAAATACCTCATTTCTACGGTTTCCCTAAGGTTCACAAACCCCTTCCACCTATTGTTTGTAGCATTGGTTTTTTAAACATATTCTCTAACAAAATACTTAACTTCTTGACTAAGGGAAAACTGGTAGTTTCGTACTTTTTTTTACTTTATTGTTATGCTCAATGTTCTGCTTATTTTCGATATAGACTCCAAGAATCTGGTGTCAAATCTCCTCTATTTTTCTTGTAACGGGAAAATATCAGGAACAGCTATGGGTTCTCCACTGTCACAAATCATCATAAATATATTTATGGAAGCTTGTGAGAAGAAAGCCCCCCCCCCACACTTTGCATCTAAAACCAAAACTAATTTGACCTCATTTTCTTAACCATTTAAATTCTATACACCTTAACATGCTTCGCGTTTGAAAGACATTAGTAATCTCTCATTATTAGATATTTTTCTTAGTAGAAAATTAGACCTAACATTGGGCCATTTAGTTTACAGAGACTGATACCTTAAAGCACGATCAGCAAAAACGATCTCAACACGAATCACTGAACCCAGTTTAATTAGAGCTATTAGTTGTTCCTTTACAAAATACAATCCACCACAACCTCCCAAACAAAAATTAGTGGGAAAGCAATCCCACACTTGCCACTGTGGTCCTTCTTTACATTCACTATTGATGTTGGCGGTACAAGTTCAGACCGTCCAAAAAGTGTTTCTCAAAATTAGATGATGTAAGTCCGGAAGAAGACCTCGAGCAGTAACCACCAGGTGGACTGGAGAAACTGAGATGAATGTTTCCAGAGAATGTTTTAGCGCATATATTTACAAGAGCGGTCTTACTATTTACAAATCTTCAAATGCCATACAACTAAATGGATGAGATGACATGACATTAAAGTTTTGTCACATTCCTCTAGCAGCCCGAATCTTAATCCAATATGAGATACTTTGATACAAAATCTTCAGCATAAGTTACCACATCCATGTGCTAAATTGCAAAATGTACGGGATAGTTTCGCCCATCGATTCAGTGAAAGCCTAGGTACAATGCGGGATAGAATTCGGAATGTCATTCGGTCCAGCGCAAAGTTACACTTTATTAAATTTTATTTTAATTTGTTGAACAGCACTTGAAAAAAATATTTAATTAACAGCATTTTTAGAATATCAAACAATTAATAAAATAGAAATGAAAGTAAAATATGAATAAATCGTAAAAATAATTATACGCGCTCATAAAACATGTTACTAATATTTCACATTTACAATTAAAAAAGATTAAATAAAAGAATTTCGATTACCTGCCAGAGTCCTGCCGCACGATGGGACGGTTATACAGGGTGAATCAAAAAGACGACATCGATCCTTTGTGTGAAAACATTGTGACTTTGATGCAATACGATATTTCATCGTCACGACGGGTTTCTAAAAGACAGGGCGTTAAAATTTATTTTAAAGAAATATTTTTACATATTTTGTTGAAATTTGGTTTGTATAATTGTCCTGTTTTGCAAATGAAAACGGTATGTCAGCAAAAATAAAAACGGATGTCCGGTACCCTATTAATTAAGTTTCGCCGTTAGAGGGCGTTTTGCGACATCACTATAAATAAAACACGGTAATGAAAACCGCAACAACAACATAATACCGCCATCTTTGGGAACGTTTTCATTATTAAGTACTCATACTCTTACTTTTAGCAAAATATATACAAATTTACTATTGAAACGACAACATTATATTTAAAATGTCAATAAAAATTAATACCCATTCCCATATAATTAAATATTGCAGTACGATATATTGCAATAATGAAAAACAATAACACAGATAAAACACCAAGATCTTTGCGTTTTAACGCATGTTGCTCATGGATTTAAAAAAAAAACAATTGCGTTTTAAATGTTTTGTAAAAAAGGCCATAAATATCTTCAATCTTAGTATGATTGACATTTGAACACCATTATTAAAATTTTTGCTATTTTGTTGTCCAAAGCACACTTGCAATTTAAAATTTCGAGTTTCATGTGGACAGGGCAAAATTCGTATTGAGGATAATTAATTATTTTAAATTTTGCACTAGCGTGTTCTTTTTTACAATTAAAATGAGGTCGCAAATCGCTCTCTAGTGGTGATACAATCAATCTGAATCGATCTGCTCGGGCCAACGTTGGTAGCCTAAAACGAGCAACAACAATTTGACAAAATACGTTTAGCTATTCTGAAGTTGACATTTATTTCCTAAAATCGAACATCCCCACCACTTTCCCTTAGTTCCCCAGTTAAGAAAAGGAATTGAATTGATGCTCACTTTAAAACAGTGCCTATTTTTAGCTATCTGTTTAAAATGTTGTCTCAAAAAACGGCTACTATTCTAGGAACTTAAAAAATAACTTTGCAGAATATTCTCTTGGCCTCTTTAGTTACAAGTTTTCTCTCCCCAAGATTTTATAACAATTACTTTTCGAAACAGGACAGAGTGTCGTTAATTGGTCAGCCTTTACAATATCTCAAAAACTAAAATTGTCCTAAAAATGCACTAGAGAGAAATAATAATTAATTTTTGTTATTATTTTATTTAATTTGTATTTATTATTATTACTGTATTATTAAAAGTAAACGATTTATTAAACTAAATAAGTCTAACGGCCATAGGCGTACATTGAAAAAATTTCAGGGGGTGATAAGAAGTTCCAAAGTCCCAATATTTTCACACGAAGTAAAAGAACCCATCCTTTCGTCTCATCCTGTAGAACATCGGGTAGTTTATTATCAACTTTTTGTTCTAGA